ACATTATTAATTTATAGAGTTCTACTGTATATAATCAAAAAAATGAATAGGACATATATTCGCAATCGCATTTCTTGCAAACCATGTTTCTCCAGTACTTCAAGAAGTCATATTTGCAGAAGATCATATAAAAAACAATGGAAAAAGAGAGTTTCGTTTAGGTGATAAAAATAACAAATTAGTAAATTAAAGATTGGGAAAAAGAGACGCACAAGGTACATTCTCATTCTACAGGCTCCAATTGCACTTTTGGACGTTGTTTCCAACACTGTTTACACATTTTGTTGCTAAAAATGTGTATTATCACCTGATAATATATACACAATGTTATGATTAACACAAGATCAATTAAAATTCCTGTCTCTAAACAGATCATAAACACAAAGAAGAGAGTTTAGAGGCAGAACTAACCTATAGAAGTTCCAGTCTTTTTTCTTCATTTCAACAACACTCTTCATTGAAGTTCGCTTTGCATTTCAGACAACTCTGGTTTTTTGAGAAGTTTGGAAAATTGAACATGTAGAATCAGCAAGGAATAACCAATGAGTATGGCATAAAAGTGTCAGATTTAGTCAATCCAGTGAATGAGTGGGTAAAGGAAAAGGTTATGAATTTCAAAAGTTTACAGTTTGACCATTTTATTTATATAAGTTCTTCTTTTGTTATTTTTTTAGTATCAAATTGTATAGGTTGGTTTACTCCGATTTAATTAATTTTATGTTTTGTTTAGTTAAGACAAAACTAATTTTATGTTTTGTTTACTAACTATGGAATCAAAACAGCTAAAAAACAACTTTAAAACTACAAAATCAGCACGATGATCATCATAAATTAAAGTTAGAAAATAGATAAATGTTATTTAGCCAAAATCAGAAGCAATTTTGTAGTGTTTAAGCCAAAACAAAGCTTTATGATTAAATTTAACCCAGCAGTTATACTTCTGTGTCGTAACCTGTTACCAACTTGACACTGAAACCAAACTTGTAATCCTTCTTCAAGTGATCCACCTGGTTTTAAACCAAATCAAAATCATTATCGAAAAAACAAAACTCAGGTAAAAGTATACATGAAACCGCATGATGATCAAGTTATTATTTTTTTGTTACCTGTGCGGATAGAATGCAACAGAGTCCATCACCAATAGGCAAACGTTCTTTGAGGTGAGCAGAGGTTGTTCCATTAGAATCAATCTTACCTCTTAGCCGACTCTAAAACCAAACCAAAAAATTCAAAAAATTTTTGGTTGCTTTTTGTTTCAACTACAATGGAACAATTACAAAGGAAAAAATCAGTTATATACCTGTCGAAGAATGTAGTCATACCCAACACTAGCTGTAGCATCTCTCGACATTGCATCGTACATGAAATCTGCTGCAAGTGAGACCTGATGATCATGTAACAAACAAAACAAAAACAAAAAGTGTGATGTTTTTTAATAGCTTATCATCTAACTCTAATAGGGTTATAAAGATGGATTAAGATGACACCGGAATGTTTACCCTATCTGAAACCTTATGAACATTGTTCATCATAGCCACGCCAATGGAAGAAACTTGCCCAGAGGCAACCTGTTGAGTTTTAGTTAAGTTAGCTTCAAGATTGTAAACCAACCTAGAAGAAGGTCACAGGAGAAGTGATTTTACATGTTGTATTGTGTTTATGCTGGGAAATAAGTAAAAAAAGCGTTTAACCATCTTATGAGTCTCGTACCTAGCCTTTTACCATCTTTTCCGTCTTTTTTTCTTTAAATTTTGTTTGTTTATATTCGAAATAACGTTTTGAATTTTTTTTTATTTCAAAGAGAATTTGTAGTTTTTATAATTTGTAAAATAAGTATTTGTTTTATATGATGAATTTACTTTAGCTTTACATATTATTTTTTTTGACAGCTACTTTAGCTTCATACATAATCTTTCTAAGAATTTTCTTTATAAAGTTTGATAATTAATTTCTGTAATCTTTTATATTTGGTTTCCTTCCAAACTTATTTTCACAAATTAAGAATTTGTAATTTTTATGATTTGTAAAATAAGTATTTGTTTTTAATTTCAAATTAATCATATTAAAAGCCCAAAAAAACACCTAAACTTTAAAAACAAAACCCAAAATATTTAAAAACTCATTTTAAAATAAATTGTTTGCTGATGTGGACACTTTAGATGGAGAGATAACTTGCTAATTATATATATGATTTATTGAGTTATTAATTAATCGATAAATTTTTAATTATTAATTAAACGATAAATTTTTAATTATTAATTTATAAATAAATTAATGTTTGATTAATTAATAGAGATGTTTTTAGCTTAAATTTTTAATATTCATAAAAGAAAAAATCAATATTATCAACAATGTAAAATTCATTCAAAAAATGTCATAATAATTAATTTAGAAGATAAATCAAACAAATTTTATAAACTTGAAACAACAATATTATCATAGTTTACTATATTATATTATTAATATATACCTAAATATATAATTATTAATTTATATTATTATTGGGACCATATTTTTACAGAAAACTTTCAAAAAAGTATTATATTATTATCTTATCGAATTTTGTCAATTTTTACATTGACCCCTCTTAGGACCGGCAAAAATTATTAATTTATAGTGATTATTAATTACAACTTACTAGTGATTATTAATTTATCGAGTATTAATTTGTAGTTTTAAATTATATCTTGATGTTTTGACTTGATTTTTAGCTGTTTTGGTTCGTTTACTACACCTATCCTAGACACCATTTTTGTGTTGTGTCGTCAAAATCTTGAAATGTTTATAAAAAAAAGTACTAGTGAAGGAGAAGCTGGAGGGTTTAGATTTGCATTTGTATCCTCGTTATCAACATTATCCATCATCGTAGCGGCAAAGAAGAAACATACTTCTTCTTGAAAAATGTAATGTTGGTATTAGTAACGCAAATTAATTAATAAATTATGTTTAAAATATGTATGTGTTTTGGCTGTACTTTTAACAAAGATGAATTCTGCATGTAAATAAACTCTAGCCACTAGTAATAATTGAGAGATTGACTAATTAATATACATTAATTAACCTTTCCGTAAACTAAAGATGCTTCGCAACATATTATTGACTTTTTTCAACCATAGAGACATTATTCTCGCCTTCTATTTTTTTTTCTTTTTCAGAATCAACAAACACAAAATAATAACATTTCATTTTCTTAAACGGTCAAACACAAAATATGTTGATTTTCATATTTCCTAATCATGTTAGAACTTTGAATAAAACCACCGACTAGATATCCTATAAATAGAGAGATGCATATTTCGTGTCATTCACCACATTATTCTAATTCGTAACTTCTTTCATCAATTTCCCCACAAAGAACGAACTATGTCGACGTCAACGAAGAAGATTGTTTTAAAAAGCTCAGACGAGATGATCTTTAAGGTTGAAGAGGCGGTGGCTCTACAGTCGGAGACTATAGCCCACATGATTGAAGTTGACTGCATCGCTAATGCAATCCCTCTTGCCAACGTCACAGGTGAGATCCTCACTTTGGTGATCGAGTATTGCAAGAAACACGTTGTCGTCGCCGATGATGATGGTGGTGGTGGTTCGTCTTCTTCCACCCAAGAGGATCTCAAGAATTGGGACGCTCAATTTATAAATGATCTCGACCAGTCAACGATTTTTAATCTGATTCTGGCTGCTAATTTTCTCAACATCAAAACCCTTCTTGATTTCACTTGTCAGTTCGTCGCTGATACGATGATTAAAGGTAAAACAGTTGAGGAGATTCGTAAGACTTTTAACATCGAGAACGATTTCACAGCTGAGGAAGAAGCACAGATTCACCATGAAAATGAATGGGCTTTTAATTGATCATGTAGATCACTTTTAGATGACTTGTGATCATGATTCATGATTATGTTTGTTCTCCCGCAGTCATGTGTCTTTGCTTTTATGAAGTAATGCTTTATTGTTTTGGTCTACAAAACAATGTCTTGATTTTTTCCTTCTATTAAAATATGTTTTTATTAATTTTAATAATAATATTTTTTATATATTCAACAAAATACAACGATCAATGTCCCAACATTATTAATTTATAGAGTTCTACTGTATATAATCAAAAAAATGAATGGGGCATATATTCGCAATCGCATTTCTTGCAAACCATGTTTCTCCAGTACTTCAAGAAGTCATATTTGCAGAAGATCATATAAAAAAACAAGGGAAAAAGAGAGTTTCGTTTAGGAGATGAAAATAACAAATTAGTAAATTAAAGATTGGGAAAAAGAGACGCACAAGGTACATTCTCATTCTACAGGCTCCAATTGCACTTTTGGACGTTGTTTCCAACACTGTTTACACATTTTGTTGCTAAAAATGTATATTATCACCTGATAATATACACACAATGTTATGATTAACACAAGATCAATTAAAATTCCTGTCTTTAAACAGATCATAAACACAAAGAAGAGAGTTTAGAGGCAGAACTAACCTATAGAAGTTCCAGTCTTTTTTTTTCATTTCAACAACACTCTCCATTGAAGTTCGCTTTGCATTTCAGACAACTCTGGTTTTTAGAGAAGTTTGGAAAATTGAACATGTAGAATCAGCAAGGAATAACCAATGAGTATGGCATAAAAGTGTCAGATTTAGACAATCCAGTGGATGAGTGGGTAAAGGGAAAGGTTATGAATTTCAAAGGTTTGCAGTTTGACCATTTTATTTATATAAGTTCTTCTTTTGTTTTTTTTTAGTATCAAATGGTATAGGTTGGTTTACTCCGATTTAATTAATTTTATGTTTTGTTTAGTTAAGACAAAACTAATTTTATGTTTTGTTTACTCACTATGGAACCAAAACAGCTAAAAATCAACTTTAAAACTATAAAATCAGCGCGATGATCATCATAAATTAAAGTTAGGAAATAGATAAACGTTATTTAGCCGAAATCAGAAGCAATTTTGTAGTGTTTAAGCCAAAACAAAGCTTTATGATTAAATTTAACCCAGCAGTTATACTTCTGTGTCGTAACCTGTTACCAACTTGACACTGAAACCAAACTTGTAATCCTTCTTCAAGTGATCCACCTGGTTTTAAACCAAATCAAAATCATTATCGAAAAAACAAAACTCAGGTAAAAGTATACATGAAACCGCATGATGATCAAGTTATTATTTTTTTGTTACCTGTGCGGATAGAATGCAACAAAGTCCATCACCAATAGGCAAACGTTCTTCGAGGTGAGCAGAGGTTGTTTCATTAGAATCAATCTTACCTCTTAGCCGACTCTAAAACCAAACCAAAAAATTTAACAACTTTTTGGTTGCTTTTTGTTTCAACTACAATGGAACAATTACAAAGGAAAAAATCAGTTAAGTACCTGTCGAAGAATGTAGTCATACCCAACACTAGCTGTAGCATCTCTCGACATTGCATCGTACATGAAATCTGCTGCAAGTGAGACCTGATGATCATGTAACAAACAAAACAAAAACAAAAAGTGTGATGTTTTTTAATAGCTTATCATCGAACTCTAATAGGGTTATAAAGATGGATTAAGATGACACCGGAATGTTTACCCTATCTGAAACCTTATGAACATAGTTCATCATAGCCACGCCACTGGAAGAAACTTGCCCAGAGGCAACCTGTTGAGTTTAGTTAAGTTAGCTTCAAGATTGTAAACCAACCTAGAAGAAGGTCACAGGAGAAGTGATTTTACATGTTGTATTGTGTTTATGCTGGGAAATAAGTAAAAAAAAGCTTTTTACCATCTTATCAGTCTCGTACCTAGCCTTTTACCATCTTATCAGTCTTTTATTCTTTAAATTTTGTTTGTTTATATTCGAAATAACGTTTTGAATTTTTTTTATTTCAAAGAGAATTTGTATTTTTTATAAATTGTAAAATTAGTATTTGTTTTATATGATGAATTTACTTTAGCTTTACATATTATTTTTTTTTACAGCTACTTTAGCTTCATATATAACCTTTCTAAGAATTTTCTTTATAAAGTTTGATAATTATTTTCTGTAATCTTTTATATTTGGTTTCCTTCCAAACTTATTTTCACAAATTAAGAATTTGTAATTTTTATGATTTGTATAAATAAGTATTTGTTTTTAATTGCAAATTAATCATATTAAAAGCCCAAAAATAAACACCTAAACTTTAAAAACAAAACCCATAATATTTAAAAGCCTATTTTAAAATAATTTTTTTGCTGATGTGGACACCTTAGATGGAGAGATAACTTGCTAATTATATATATGATTTATTGAGTTATTAATTAACCGATAAATTTTTAATTATTAATTTATCGATAAATTAATGTTTGATTAATTAATAGAGATGTTTTTAGCTTAAATTTTTAATATTCATTAAAAACAAAATCAATATTTTCAACAATGTAAAATTCATTCAAAAAATGTCATAATAATTAATTTAGAAGATAAATCAAACAAGTTTTATAAATTTGAAACAACAATATTATCATAGTTTACTATATTATATTATTAATATATACCTAAATGTATAATTATTTTTCCCATATTTTTACATAAAACTTTCAAAAAAGTATTATCTTATTATCTTACCGAATTTTGTCAATTTTTACCCCGGCCCGTCTTAGGACCGGCAAAAATTATTAATTTATAGCGATTTTTAATTACAACTTCCGTAGTGATTATTAATTTATCGAGTATTAATTTGTAGTTTTAAATTATCTCTTGATGTTTTGACTTGATTTTAAGCTGTTTTGGTTCGATTACTATACCTTGCCTAGACACCATTTTTGTGTTGTGTCATCAAAATCTTGAAATGTTTATAAAAAAAGTACTAGTGAAGGAGAAGCTGGATGGTTTAGATTTGCATTCGTATCTTCGTTATCAACATTATCCATTATCGTAGCGGCAAAAAAGAAACATACTTCTTCTTGAAAAATGCAATGTTGGTATTAGTAACGCAAATTAATTAATAAATTATGTTTAAAATATGTATGTGTTTTGGCTGTACTTTTAACAAAGATGAATTCTGCTTGTAAATAAACTCTAGCCACTAGTAATAATTGAGAGATTGGCTAATTAATATATATTAATTAACCTTTCCGTAAACTAAAGATGCTTCGCAACATATTATTGACTTTTTTCAACCTTAGAGACATTATTCTCGCCTTCTATTTTTTTTTTTTCCTTTTTCAGAATCAACAAACACAAAATAATAACATTTCATTTTCTTAAATGGTCAAACACACAATATGTTGATTTTCATATTTCCTAATCATGTTAGAACTTTGAATAAAACCACCAACTAGATATCCTATAAATAGAGAGATGCATACTTCGTGTCATTCACCACATTATTCTAATTCGTAACTTCTTTCATCAATTTCTCCATAAAGAACGAACTATGTCGACGTCGACGAAGAAGATTGTTTTAAAAATCTCAGACGACATAATCTTTAAGGTTGAAGAGGCGGTGGCTCTACAGTCGAAGACCATAGCCCACATGATTGAAGTTGACTGCGTCGCTAATGCAATCCCTCTTGCCAACGTCACAGGTGAAATCCTCACTTTGGTGATCGAGTATTGCAAGAAACACGTTGTCTTCGCCGATGGTGATGGTGGTGGTGGTTCGTCTTCTTCCACCCAAGAGGATCTCAAGAATTGGGACGCTCAATTTATAAATGATCTCGACCAGTCAACGATTTTTAATCTGATTCTGGCTGCTAATTTTCTCAACATCAAAACCCTTCTTGATTTTACTTGTCAGTTCGTCGCTGATACGATGATCAAAGGTAAAACAGTTGAGGAGGTTCGTAAGACTTTATCATCGAGAACGATTTCACAGCCGAGGAAGAAGCACAGATTCACCATGAAAATGAATGGGATTTTAATTGATCATGTAGATCACTTTTAGATGACTTGTGATCATGATTCATGATTATGTTTGTCCTCCCGCAGTCATGTGTCTTTGCTTTAATGAAGTAATACCTTATTGTTTTGGTCTACAAAATAATGTCTTGTTTTTTTCCTTCTTTTTAAATATGTTTTTCTTAATTTTAATAGTAAATTTTTTATATATTCAACAAAATACAACGATAAACGCCCCAACATTATTAATTTATAGAGTTCTACTGTATATAATAAAAAAATGATTGGGATATATATAATCGCAATCGCATTTCTTGCAAACCGTGTTTCTCCAGTACTTCAAGAAGAGTATTCGCAGAATATCATATAAAAAAACAAGGGAAAAAGAGAGTTTCGTTTAGGATATAAAAATAACAAATTAGTAAATTAAAAATCAGGGAAAAGAGACGCACAGGGTACATTCTTATTTTCCAGGCTCCCATTGCACTTTTGGACGTTGTTTCCAACATTGTTTACACATCTTGTTGCTAAAAATGTGTATTATCACCTGATAATATACACACAATGTTATGATTAACACAAGATCAATTAAAATTCCTGTCTCTAAACAGATCATAAACACAAAGAAGAGAGTTTAGAGGCAGAACTAACCTATAGAAGTTCCAGTCTTATTTCTTCATTTCAACAACACTCTCCATTGAAGTTTGCTTTGCATTTCAGACAACTCTGGTTTTTTGAGAAGTTTGGAAAATTGAACATGTAGAATCAGCAAGGAATAACCAATGAGTATGGCATAAAAGTGTTAGATTTAGTCAATCCAGTGAATGAGTGGGTAAAAAGAAAGGTTATGAATTTCAAAGGTTTGCAGTTTGACCATTTTATTTATATAAGTTCTTCTTTTGCTAGTTTTTTGGTATCAAATTGTATAGGTTGGTTTACTCTGATTTAATTAATTTTATATTTTGTTTAGTTAAGACAAAACTAATTTTATGTTTTGTTTACTCACTATGGAACCAAAACAGCTAAAAATCAACTTTAAAAATATAAAATCAGCGCGATGATCATCATAAATTAAAGTTAGGAAATAGATAAATGTTATTTAGCCAAAATCAGCAGCAATTTTGTAGTGTTTAAGCCAAAACAAAGCTTTATGATTAAATTTAACCCAGCAGTTATACTTCTGTGCCGTAACCTGTTACCAACTTGACACCGAAACCAAACTTGTAATCCTTCTTCATGTGATCCACCTGGTTTTAAACCAAATCAAAATCATTATCGAAAAAACAAAACTCAGGAAAGGTAAAAGTATACATGAAACCGCATGATGATCAAGTTATTATTTTTTTATTTACCTCTGCGGATAGAATGCAACAGAGTTCATCACCAATAGGCAAACGTTCTTCGAGTTGAGCAAAGGTTGTTCCATTAGAATCAATCTTACCTCTTAGCCGGCTCTAAAACCAAACCAAAAAGTTTAACAACTTTTTGGTTGCTTTTTGTTTCAACTCCAATGGAACAATTACAAAGGAAAGAATCAGTTAAGTACCTGTCGAAGATTGTAGTCATACCCAACACTAGCTGTAGCATCTCTCGACATTGCATCGTACATGAAATCTGCTGCAAGTGAGACCTGATGGTCATGTAACAAACAAAACAAAAACAAAAAGTGTGATGTTTTTTAACAGCTTATCATCTAACTCTAATAGGGTTATAAAGATGGATTAAGATGACACCGGAATGTTTACCCTATCTGAAACCTTATGAACATAGTTCATCATAGCCACGCCACTGGAAGAAACTTGCCCAGAGGAAACCTATTGAGTTTAGTTAAGTTAGCTTCAAGATTGTAAACCAACCTAGAAGAAGGTCACAAGAGAAGCGATTTTACATGTTGTATTGTGTTTATGCTGGAAAATAAGTAAAAGAAAAGCTTTTTACCATCTTATCAGTCTCGTACCTAGCCTTTTACCATCTTATCAGTCTTTTTTTCTTTAAATTTTGTTTGTTTATATTCGAAATAACGTATTGAATTTTTTTTTTTTTTCAAAGAGAATTTGTAGTTTTTATAATTTGTAAAATAAGTATTTGTTTTATATGATGAATTTACTTTAGCTTTACATATTATTTTTTTGACAGCTACTTTAGTTTCATATATAATCTTTCTAAGAATTTTCTTTATAAAGTTTGGTAATTATTTTCTGTAATCTTTTATATTTGGTTTCCTTCCAAACTTATTTTCACAAATTAAGAATTTGTAATTTTTATGATTTGTAAAATAAGTATTCGTTTTTAATTTCAAATTAATCATATTAAAAGCCCAAAAATAAACACCCAAACTTTAAAAACATAACCCAAAATATTTAAAAGCCCATTTTAAAATAAATTGTTTGCTGATGTGGACACCATAGATGGAGAGATAACTTGCTAATTATATATATGATTTATTGAGTTATTAATTAATTGATAAATTATTAATAATTAATTTATCGATAAATTAATGTTTGATTAATTAATAGAGATGTTTTTAGCTTGAATTTTTAATATTCATAAAAAAACAAAATCAATATTTTCAACAATGTAAAATTCATTCAAAAAATGTCGTAATAATGAATTTAGAAGATAACTCATACAAATTTTATAAACTTGAAACAACAATATTATCATAGTTTACTATAATATATTATTATTATTATATACCTAAATATATAATTATTAATTTATATTATTATTGGGACCATATTTTTACATAGAACATTCAAAAATGTATTATCTTATTATCTTATCGAATTTTATCAATTTTTACACTGGCCCTTCTTAGGAATGGCAAAAATTATTAATTTATAGTGATTGTTAATTACATCTTCCATAGTGATTATTAATTTATCGAGTATTAATTTGTAGTTTTAAATTATCTCTTGATGTTTTGACTCTATTTTTAGCTGTTTTGGTTCGTTTACTACACCTAGCCTAGACACCATTTTTGTGTTGTGTCGTCAAAATCTTGAAATGTTTATAAAAAAAAGTACTAGTGAAGGAGAAGCTGGAGGTTTTAGATTTGCATTCGTATCCTCGTTATCAACATTATCCATCATCGTAGCGGCAAAGAAGAAACATACTTCTTCTTGAAAAATGTAATGTTGGTATTAGTAACCCAAATTAATTAATAAATTATGTTTAAAATATATTTGCGTTTTGGCTGTACTTTTAACAAAGATGAATTCTACATGTAAAAAAACTCTAACCACTGTAATAATTGAGAGATTGACTAATTAATATACATTAATTAACCATTCTGTAAACAGAAGATGCTTTACAACATATTATTGACTTTTTTCAACCTTAGAGACATTGTTCTCGCCTTCTATTTTTTTTTCCTTTTTCAGAATCAACAAACACAAAATAATAACATTTCATTTTCTTAAACGGTCAAACACAAAATATGTTGATTTTCATATTTCCTAATCATGTTAGAACTTTGAACAAAACCACCGACTAGATATCCTATAAATAGAGAGATGCATACTTCGTGTCATTCACCATATTATTCTAATTCGTAACTTCTTTCATCAATTTCCCCACAAAGAGCGAACTATGTTGACGTCGACGAAGAAGATTGTTTTAAAAAGCTCAGACGACATGATCTTTAAGGTTGAAGAGGCGGTGGCTCTACAGTCGGAGACTATAGCCCACATGATTGAAGTTGACTGCGTCACTAATGCAATCCCTCTTGCCAACGTCACAGGCGATATCCTCACTTTGGTGATCGAGTATTGCAAGAAACACGTTGTCTTCGCCGATGGTGATGGTGGTGGTGGTTCGTCTTCTTCCACCCAAGAGGATCTCAAGAATTGGGACGCTCAATTTATAAATGATCTCGACCAGTCAACGATTTTTAATCTGATTCTGGCTGCTAATTTTCTCAACATCAAAACCCTTCTAGATTTCACTTGTCAGTTCGTCGCTGATACGATGATCAAAGGTAAAACAGTTGAAGAGATTCGTAAGACTTTTAACATCGAAAACGATTTCACAGCCGAGGAAGAAGCACAGATTCACCATGAAAATGAATGGGCTTTTAATTGATCATGTAGATCACTTTTAGATGACTTGTGATCATGATTCATGATTATGTTTGTTCTTCCGCAGTCATGTGTCTTTGCTTTTATGAAGTAATGCCTTATTGTTTTGGTCTACAAAACAATGTCTTGTTTTTTTCCTTCTTTCTAAATATGTTTTTATTAATTTTAATAATAAGATTGTTTATATATTCAACAAAATACAACGATCAACACCCCAACATTATTAATTTATAGAGTTCTACTATATATAATCAAAAAATATGAATGGGACATATATAATCGCAATCGCATTTCTTGCAAACCGTGTTTCTCCAGTACTTTAAGAAGTCATATTTGCAAAAGATCATATAAAAAAACAAGGGAAAAAGAGAGTTTCGTTTAGGATATGAAAATAACAAATTAGTAAATTAAAGATCGGGGAAGAGAGACGCACATGGTACATTCTCATTCTCGAGGCTCCAATTGCACTTTTGGACATTGTTCCCAACACTGTTTACACAGTTTGTTGCTAAAAATGTGTATTATCACCTGATAATATACACACAATGTTATGATTAACACAAGAGCAATTAAAATTCCAGTCTTTAAACAGATCATAAACACAAAGAAGAGAGTTTAGAGGCAGAACTAACCTATAGAAGTTCCGGTCTTTTTTCTTCATTTCAACAACACTCTCCATTGAAGTTCGCTTTGCATTTCAGACAACTCTGGTTTTTTGAGAAGTTTGGAAAATTGAACATGTAGAATTAGCAAGGAATAACCAATGAGTATGGCATAAAAGTGTCAGATTTAGTCAATCCAGTGAATGAGTGGGTAAAGAGAAAGGTTATGAATTTCAAAGGTTTGCAGTTTGACCATTTTATTTATATAAGTTCTTCTTTTGTTATTTTTTTTAGTATCAAATTGTATAGGTTGGTTTACTCCGATTTAATTAATTTTATATTTTGTTTAGTTAAGTCAAAACTAATTTTATGTTTTGTTTACTCATTATGGAACCAAAACAGCTAAAAATCAACTTTAAAACTATAAAATCAGCGCAATGATCATCATAAATTAAAGTTAGGAAATAGATAAACATTATTTAGCCGAAATCAGAAGTAATTTTGTAATGTTTAAGCCAAAACAAAGCTTTATGATTAAATTTAACCCAGCAGTTATACTTCTGTGTCGTATCGTGTTACCAACTTGACACCGAAACCAAACTTGTAATCTTTCTTCAAGTGATCCACCTGGTTTTAAACCAAATCAAAATCAATATCGAAAAAACAAAACTCAGAAAAAGTAAAAGTATACATGAAACCGCATGATGATCAAGTTATTATTTTTTTATTTACCTCTGCGGATAGAATGCAACAGACTCCATCACCAATAGGCAAACGTTCTTCGAGGTGAGCAGAGGTTGTTCCATTAGAATCAATCTTACCTCTTAGCCGACTCTAGAACCAAACCAAAAAAATTCAACAACTTTTTGGTTGCTTTTTGTTTCAACTCCAATGGAACAATTACAACAGAAAGAATCAGTTAAGTACATGTCGAAGAATGTAGTTATACCCAACACTAGCTGTAGCATCTCTCAACATTGCATCGTACATGAAATCTGCTGCAAGTGAGACCTGATGATCATGTAACAAACAAAACAAAAATAAAAAGTGTGATGTTTTTTAACAGCTTATCATCTAATTCTAATAGAGTTATAAAGATGGATTAAGATGACACCGGAATGTTTACCCTATTTGAAACCTTATGAACATAGTTCATCATAGCCACGCTATTCGAAGAAACTTGACCAGAGGCAACCTGTTGATTTTAGTAAAGTTAGCTTCAAGATTGTAAACCAGATTGTAAACCAACGTAGAAGAAGGAGAACCGCATAAACAAGTAAAAGAATAGTTTTTTACCATTTTATCAGTCTCGTATCTAGCCGCAGATACAACACCTGACGTCGGTTGCTGACCAGTCTAGAAAAAAATGTTTTTGCATTATTCAATGATGTTTATATATCTTAAACTTTGTCAAATGTTCAAGTTGATAAAATATCTTTTGTACACACTACTACTAATCCTTTTTTTTACCATTTTATTAGTCTGACCAATATAGAAAACCTCGCCACCTAATGATAGCTTGGGTGTAACATGCTGCAAAGAAAAGAAAATACATATATATAAATCAGTGAAAAGAAAGATTTTGTAACAAACAAAATAAAGATTATCTAATGCTGACAAATAGTAAAGAAAGATTATCCAGCAATAAAGGGAAATTCAATAGAACAAGTTAAAATGGTAAAAGCATAACTTCACCTGAATATAGCTAGCTCTATAAAGGGAACCGCTTCCAAGTTGAAGCTGAGTTCTGTAGTCTGACCCCTACAAAGATATAATAAACTCGTGCTTGTCAAAACCAAATAAAGCTAGAAGAAACGATTACAGTTATAGTTATAGATAGAAAGAGAGATAATTATTCATCACCTTGTAATCAAAGTTGAACACGCCTTCGGACCTATCTTGTTCATTTGTCAGCTGGAAGAGAAGAGAAGAAGAAACAATATGGTGATTACACAAAGAAAGAGATTATTAGAGCAGAAACAACAAAATAATTTTACCTGAGCTTTAGTCTTTATGGTAAGAGTATCCGTCAAATTGCAGTTCACAGTCGCATTAAGTGTACCATCCGTTTTGACCTTTCCGATAAGCAGCAACTGCATACAAGTTTGTCAAAGTTATTATCATATCTTGTTGATGACAAATCATTATAATGACATAAGAGTAGATACATCAACAAAGGACATACCTTTGGGTCAGTGAAATTTGCACCAAACTCATAACCGGAAGTTGGAATTTTGATTATTTCAGATGAACCACGAAAGGGAAGCTCTGTTAGTCCCGTCGATAAGCTGTTTGAAACATCGATTACACATATGCTTAGTTTTACTGAAGAACATAAATATACTTAACTTTTAACCAATTTTTAGTACCTATGAGTGAGAGAGAACTTATGGTTCATCTTATTGTTGAGGTCGAAGCGGAAACCCTCAAATAGTTCTGGCTTTAAAGACACTGCAAAGTGAAATCAAACCACTGCAAAGTGAAAACCCACCCAAACCAAAATGTGATTTATCCTTTAACAAGAAACAACTGCAAATTTCACAAACTTTTTTTTTTAGGTTTTCGAATTTTGTTGAGTCGCAAACATAAAACTAGCCTTAAAGCTCTAACACGACATCAAAATTCCAACTTTATAACACCAATGCACTCCTGCAAGACTCGTTTCTGTTCCGATTGTTGGTTCACACGCAGACAGTTTAAAGACCCAAAAATCAGTGATGAAGCCCAAGACAGACAGATCGTAGAGTGACGAAGAAATGAAACAGTTAAAAGATAGTGAAAGGGGAATGTCGAGTACTGAACTCGTAGCTTCACGGTGGATTTCATCATAGGGAAGAGGGCAAGGGAGGTTTGAGTAATCCACTTTCTCGTCGAGTTTGGTCTTTTGCGCCGTCGAGTTCGGTGGTGAAAGTCCCGCCATCGCTGCTACTTACGGCCAAAGAAGGAAGTTTTTTTCTTCGATAAAGGCAGAAAATTTGAAGAAGAAATGGGAAGAGAAGCGAACAAGACGAAGAATCAGACACAGAGGGTTTATGGTAATAACCTGCGTGTGCGCCAAGGGTTTTTGTAATCCTGTGTCAATATTGGTATGACCCGGATCTGATCTTGAAACGGGTCGGATCCTGTCCTGTCTCAATTAATTGCTGCTAGGCTCGGCATTTATTTTTTTTATTTTTTTTTAAGTTTCGTTAGATTCGGATTTTAGTGAATTTATAAAATCGAGTTTATTTTATTTTTTAATCTAAAAAAATCGAGTTTAATTCGATTTAGTTTTTTTTTTTTTAGCTCGGGTCGATGTGGATAAAAAAACATTAAAGAAAAGAAGAATTCAAGTGATTGACCAGAGAGTACATATTGGAAGCTTTTATTCCTTCTTTTAAGTCTTTTGCAACGTCGAGAAACAAAAACAAATGTCTAAGAAGAAAGACTAAAAAACAAAAGGAGGAAACAGTTACAAAACCTAAACTTTTAAAGACTTTCTCCTCTTAAAATGTCAGTAACGAAGCAACAATTTAAGAAGATCAATCGATCATGAAGCAGCTATGAGGACTCACCCGGAAGCGGGAATCAAGTCCAAAACTTTCATCATGAATGCAAACGTAAATGCATCTTCCTGAAGCTTCTCGAATCTACACGTCAGAATCAAAACAGTATAAAAATATGAGTCAACCAAATACCAAACCCAAAACCTTGGTTTAGTCCAGTATAAATGTAGAATAGAGTTATGTTGTGACAAAAGGACTAAGATTCGTACCTCCCAGATTTTGAGAAATGCCCAGCGCCAAGCTCACATTTGAACAACAGCAAGTTGTTGTCGGTCTTCATTTCTCTCAGCTTCGCCACGAACTTGGCAGGTTCAGAGTACATGACTCTTGGATCTGTTGGGACAAGAACAGTTGCAAACGTCAATCGATCATTAAGCTCAGGAAATAACGTATTTAGCCAAAATCGTATCTACACAAGATAGTGCTTACCATTTAACCCAGCAGTTACAAGAATATTTGGATAATTCTGCGCCGTAACCTGTTTATTTTGGAATCATAAGCATGAATCGTAATCACTGAGAACTTCCATATCATGTATTGCAGATAATATCAAAAGAAGCCATCAAACTCACATTGTCGACTGGAGAATATGACTTCATATAGAAGTAAAATTCTTCCTTTCTAGGGTCACCCCACTCCTACAATGACAGAAGCCACAAAAATTGAAGAAAGCCCTTTTTCCAGATGAATTAACAAAAGATAAAAACATTACCAAACAAAATCAAATGATAGCAAGAAGGAAATCTATCTATCCTTATGTATATTCTAGTTCCATATCTTGACAATTCAACTATAAACACATGCAGATGATGCACTTTGTATAGTAACAAAAATATGTGTAATTCGATGTTTTAAGGCTATTGAACAAGCATTGAACCCACCTCCCATTCTGATGTCGTAAGCGGAATAGTTGGGTCCAGCATTGTTGTCAAAACATCTACAAAAGGCACTCCAGCGATAACCAACTTGAACAAGTCAGGCCTCATATTAAGAACAGCACCCGCCAGCAATCCACCAGCACTTCTTCCTTCCACGCACAGTTTTTCCTTCGAGCAGTACTTAAGTTCTATTAAACGCTCAGCACAAGCAATAAAATCAGTGAATGTGTTTTTCTTCTTCAATAGCTTTCCATTCTCGTACCACTGTCTCCCCATTTCACCACCCCCACGAACATGAGCAATTACGTAGATAAAACCACGATCTAAGAGTGATAACCTTGACGCCTTGAAATATGGATCCACGGAGATCTGTAAAGATGAGTATTTCATAGCTTAGCACGATAGAAGTAAACGGACTGAGGATTTGACTACTATAAAAGCTTCAGCTAAAGATACCTCATATGAACCATATCCATAAAGAAGGCAAGGGTCAGACCCATCGAGCTTTGCAAGTTTTTTGTTATAAACAATTGACATTGGAATTTCAGTTCCGTCTGACGCAGTAACCCATTTCCTTTCTGTAACATAATTTGATGCATCAAAACCTCCTAATACCTGAACAAAATACAGCATGGTGTCATAAAGATCAAGCAATGACAATGTCCAAGGAGCAGGCAGCCTATATTCCAAAAAAAATGTGAAAGCAAAGCAACAGTGGAAAGAAAGTAATTAACTTACTGTGTCAATCTTCTTGACAACGGAAGTGCCACTATCCATGTCATAGTCATACACAGACGGAGGTGTTTTCATCGAGCTATAGCAGAACCTCAAAACACCGGATGAAAACTCAGAATCTGTTGAGTCAACTGAATAGACCGGGTCAACAAAGCTAACACTACGACCACCTGGGAGACCTTTCAGTGGCTGTCCCTCAGCAGGAAGCCTATGAACTGTTATCTTCTGCAGTCCCTGTTCACGCTCGAATAGTACGAGGTGATCTCGAAAAAGCTGAATTTCCTGAATCTTTACACTGTCCATATCAAACATATAGGGATAAGTATTTAGTTATAGGATACAAGGTGCCCTTGACGTTAAATGCATCATAAAACCAAATTAGCAATTGGAAAACAACCCAGCCATGCATCCGGTCTAAGACAAAGAACATAAATGAGATAATAAAAAAAAAAAAAGTGGATGGGCTTCATTTGGATTTTGGATAGGACACTAACAATGGCAAACAGTAACTAACAAAGATGTTTACCTTTCCCTATGTGGAATCAGAACAGTTGTCTTAGATGTGTCATCAACAGAGCAGGCAACCACTTCTGAGTTGTAAAATTCAGTGCTCCTTCTCTGGATGAAAAAGTGGTTGCCTCGATGACTGACTGATGAATCAATGCCATCAACACGAGGTGTCAGCACCTTGAGTCCATCCTGAGGTTTGGAGACATCAAGCGAGAAGACAAATCTTGTAGTTTTGCTTTCAGATGCAACAAATATATACTTATGGCTCTCAGAGGCGTGAAGATCAAGAGAAAACATATCGTCCTTCTCATGGTAGAGGCATACATCACTACATTGCTCTGTCCCCAACTTATGTAACCAAACCTGTCACAAAGAATATATACGAAATTGATAACATGAAAACCACAAAAATTGACCGTCAAACTTAGTAAAAACTCAAAACCATTGCATCTGAGAAACGGTATATAATGTAAAAGACAATACACTAAAATACTCTGAAAGTTCAAAGGTAAACCTTGTCAGGTCGCAGGATTTCGTCCATAGTAATGTAGACCAAAGCATCATTACCAGCCCATTCGAGATCACAAGTCACTCCTTTTAGCGGTTGCCCCACTGGTTTCAGTGTCTCAGAGTCGATGACATTAACTGCGTATATTTCATCACCTTTTGTATCCTCTGCATACGCCACCAACTTATGATCGGGACTGTTCTGAAAGACAGAATTAAAAGAGAGGAACATCATGTTAACGAAGAGCAAGGAACTTTCTGAGAGGAGATCACAATCTCATCCTAGCAAAGTTCCCACAATCTAACCTTGAAGGCGTCAATTCTGTAGTAGTCATGCTCGTGGGCCTTGACATTCTCATCCAATATTATATGCTCAGGAGGAGCATCTGGGCCAGTTGGCATAGTATCATGCACAGAAGGCTCAGCTTTGTTGTCAGTGATCAAACGCCTACAGTGCTGAACATATTCCTTTCCATGAAGACTCTTCTTATAGTAGTAGTAAGGACCCTTGCGTAGAGGTGCCGATATATCATCTTCTTTGATCCTCCCTCTTATCTCAGCAAACAGTTGATTCTCAAATTTCTTAGTCCCTGAAAATAATTTTCCAATCCAATTATCACAGATTGCATGATCCATAATTCACTAAATCTCCAAATGCGAAAAGTCCTAATCCCTAAAGACCGCACTCACCAGACATGACGGCAGCAGTGTAGTCGTTTTCTTCACGGAGATAAGAAAGCATGTCGGGGTTGCAACGAGAATCGTCACGGAGCCAGTAGTAATTGTCAACCCGAACGTCACCGAACATCTCCATCACATGCTCCACTTTCTTCGCCACCGGAGGGGATCTCGATTCCGCCATGTCTCCCGTAGATGTTAACCGCAATGATGCAGCTCCAGTTTCAGAGAACGAGGAAGAAGAAGAGCAGCACAACCGAAGACTACAGCGGCGGCGAGGAACAAGAGGAGCACCGAAGTGGAGAAGATGACGATGAGGTGCGAGAAAGTCGGAGCTAAGAGAAACGAGTCCACGCCTTGCTATCATTTATACAGCTTTGGTGCTTATCTACTGAGCGCAAAACTCGCGACGAGTTGTTAAATCCAGATTAAATGCCCCCAAACCGGTTCCTTATTTGTATCGGTTAAACAAAATTCCAAAACTCGAGACCATCATCATTCATAACTTTGTGCAAACCGGATTAAATGCTCCAAACCGGGTCTTTCTTTGTATCGGTTACACAAAATTCCAAAACTAAAGTTCAATTCATCACTGTGCTTGATATTTGAACAATAAAACGATTCGAATCGTTCGTGAATTGTTGAACTTGAAAATGTTGGTTTCGTGAATTTTCCCACCCGAGATAATCCAAACGTAACCGAACCGTACCAGCAAGACAAGACGGGATGATAAAATTTCCTAAAAGTGGTCTTACATACAGAAGAAAGATAAACCAAAACGTAAAAAGCACGTACGTACGTATAGTAACAACGTCCAGAGTCTAGATCGAGTTAAAAAGTGCATCAAAACCCACTAAAATTGCCAAAGTGACATTCACTTTCACAAGAAAATGTTTTCAAAAGAAGAAAAACAAAACAATGGAAGTGTAAAACAACATCAGAAGATATACCTTGAAAGAACATAAAGCCAATGGCAATGGCGCTAACTTCATCAGAACAATAGGAGACTAATAATGTAGGATCATCATCATCATCATCCATCACAGGAAATAAGGGACACCTGTCCTTGGCCCTCTCATTTGATTGTTCTCTTCTGTCTCCGTGAAGAACTTCACTTCCCTTTCCTGGTAACAAAGTAATATTTTAACAAATCATAACCGTGAGTAAGGACTAGATTAGATCCTAAACACTTCACAGAACACAGGTCTGTAGAAGAACACAAAGAGCACGATCGATATGGGCATATAGATTCTACAGCACCAACTAGATCATTTAACATAGATATACTGTAGTTATTATATAAATGGCAAAAACATAGTTCGAACTCTATCTCACAAGAGCTACTTGAAACAGAAACCTCTCTTGGTTAGAAGTTACATATGTATTAAACATATGAAGTATATAATAATATGAAACACGAGATTGTGGCATATCAGTAGGAAAAGAGGAAACAAATGACTCACCATGTTGTCATTGAAACTCAATATAGAGGCCACATTCCCACAGCGATAGCAGTAATTAGGTGCAGACCACACCTTTACACAAAAAATAAAGAGAAGAAACATCACCAAGCAGATTTTTATACTTCAAGTTAGCCAGAATGGATCGTACGACGCAGCACGCTTACAGTTACAAGGCCTTTATCTTGGAACATGTACTTGAGACCTTCTTGTACAAGCTGGTGTGCGCGACATACTAGATCAAGATTGTTTATATGGTTAAACTGCACAAGAAGCAAACCAAAAGATTAAGGAAGTGGAGCTGGTTTCTTTCTTACACGGCTTATTCAGATTTTAACAACAAAAATACACACCTCAGTGGTAACCCTGGACCCGAAAAGCCAACCAGCTCCACGTGGACTGACAGCCCATGTTTCAATTTCTTCAGGATCGCTCCACATAAGATCACAGAAGGGTCCTTCATGCGGGATTTCGCAATTCCGCTCTATCAGTCTTATCTAGAGGACACAACAAGATCTAGAGTGAGTAAATGAGATTTAATCAATCATGAATATTACTAGCAGGGTGAAAACAAAAGCAATAAAACAGAACATTTTAACCTGGTCAATTGTCCGTACGTCAGGTGAAAGGCCACCATGAACACATAGAACCTATATCAATATCAAGGATGCAATACTTTTTAATATAGTATACAGAGAACTTATGTTCATACAGAACGCCAAAGATACTCAGGGAAGTACTTACTGTGCCATCTATAATAGCTGAAAGTGTAAGATAGTCAAACACATCGGTGCAATATCTCCATGCATTAGCATTACCATACTTCCTTTGGCATTCATCATAGAAACCATACACCTAGGAATGATAATTTAAGACAATGACATTATTAAAAAGTGAGCCTGCAGGGACACAAAATACAAACCAAGTGTAACATGAAAGCTAAACAAGAACAATTTAAATGAAACAGCAAGCACGAAGAAAGTAACAAAACACCATCACTTGATATTTATCGCGGGTCTCTTGGATTGTATACTTCCCAAGACTTGTAACGATGTAAGAAAATTCTGATCATAGTACCAGCAGATTTTGGAATACACATTTAATTTGCGACAGGAGGTACACTCCTCGGCTAACTCATATCGAAAATTACCAGAAGTGCGTTGAAATACAACAAAATATCACTAAAATCTCTTTCCATGAACTTTGACAGTGGTTGTTAACAATTATGAGATATGGTGTAGGATTAGAGATACATCAAGAACTCTAATGAAGAAAACTCATGGATGCAAAGAACCACGTTACTAAATAAAGCATGAACTTTCCCGTACACAATACACAGAAATGCATCTTAGTTAACATCCAATTCTACTTCTACATATCAAGCTTTCATGACCAGTTATAACAATTGAGGAAGAAAATCAAAAAATCTCATCTACTAGGAGCTGCGCGAAGACCATTGCAACAATAGACATTAGTAAAACAGAATAACGCATACCTGAGTTAGCTGTCTGCTTTCATGATTTCCACGCAAAAGTGTGATATGGGCTGGATATCTACACAACGAAATACAAGAGAAAGATCGGGTTTAAGCTCAATGGAGCAATGTGTTTGACAGCTTAAAGAGCATTCTCAAGAGAATGTTATACAGTGATACAGAAAGCATGATCAATAGCATATAGACAGACAATTCCTTACTATAAAGAACACGGAAGCATGATCAATGGCATATGGAAAATTGGAAAGCATAACTTCTGAAAAGCTTAAAAAACCATACCTTGCTTTAAGAAGCAAAAGAATAGTGAATACTTCAAGACTGTTGTAACCTCTATCAACGAAATCCCCCTGAGAAGTTCACCAAAGCAAATTAAACTATGTGTGCATATTAATTGATGTTTCAAGTAAGAGGACGCCCAAAGAAAAAGCAAAAAAAAGAGCCTATACCATAAATATGTAGTTTGTCTCGGGAACATGACCTCCGGTCTGAAAAAGCTTCATTAGATCATGAAACTGGCCGTGGATATCACCACAGACGGTGACTGGACTGTTGACAGGTTGTACATTTGATTCCTCAATGAGAATTTCTTTCACCTGTAAACAGTACAAACGTATTCAGAAACATCTTGTGACTACCAAATGCATCTCAGCAAATCAACCGTTGAGAAACGAATAGAACAAGAAGGGCGGCTATAACGGGTTTCTATAATAAATCCCCCTGATAACAGTTTACAAGAGCGTGCCTTTGTGCATCCGTTAGTGAATTAAATTGACTACAGGAGAACTATATCACAAATATTGCAAGTTGATTAGACTTATCTCCGTAAACCATGTCAATAAAAATCCTATATTGGAGAGAAAAACCCTAATTCCCATGACCAATAAGGTAGAGACCAGATTCGAAGTAAGGTTCCACGAAGATAGGAAAGCAGAGGAAGCTAAAGCCTCAATCGAGAAGGCGAAGAATTGGGTATGTAGACGCGTGAATAATCCTCGGAGAAGAGAAAGCAAGCAAAGAAAACGAAGAAGAAGAAGAAGAAGAAGGGCGTACGTATTCGCAGAGAAGCTGAAGCTCGTCTTCGGAGAGATGTTGGCCTTCTTTAACCTTGGAAATCCATTGATCCAAATCCATGGCGCCTTTAACCCTCTCTCTCTCTCTATGGAAGTAGAAATTCCTCCTTCAATGGCGACTTTCCACGATCTTTGGTGGATAATTGAAGCGAAGATAGATCTAGCAGAGCATTGCTCCCTCCGCTTCGTTAGGGTTACGTAAGAGGAAAGAGAGAGAAAGGGAGACAGAAGGAACCAAAAACAATCTCGACCCAAACCCAATTTGGTCTTCCCCTTCCTCAAACTCGATCCGTCCATATTTTACATTAAACACATATTTTTTTGGCACACATTAAAAAACATCATTTTAATTTTTCATCTCATTAAAACAAAAAAAAAACTAAAATTTCGAAAATTAGTTTATATGAAAAAAAAAGTGAGGAATTATTTTGTCTATAATGAAAAATTAAAGTTTTTTTAAATCTAGAATTTGATGAAAATTTTGAACTTAAAATCAAAAAGTTTCAAATAAATATTTCAACTTCACTACATTATTATATTGTTAGGGTGATTTTGCGGTATGGAAAAACAAATCGGTCACAAGGAGACTCATTATGAGACGGACGTGATCCAGCATTTTCATCTATAGAGAAAAGCTTCGGAGATGGAGTTTGAATGTATTGGCTCATAGCTTTTGCATCACTTGTTCATTTTATAACCATGGTCGAGTGGAGAGTAAAGTCATGGTCATGTCGATCACTGACTCTCTTTCGGATCCATCTCTAAGGCCAGACACTCGTTGAGCTCCATTATCGGAAAATGATTGGGCCTATCACCTATGGGCCATAATTTGCATCGGAATGGTCTGCGGTTTCTCCCGTCGTACTTTTTACTTGTTACAGTATTTGCAAGAAATTATTAACCAATTTTATTTAGAAAGAGACTGGTAAAAATAAACGTAAAGCTTCTACAAAAATCGTTACATAGCATTTTCTGAAAAAGAAGATGAATAAATTACAAAGTCTAAACTTAAGAAAAAAAAAAACAAAGTTGATGATCACAATAAGTAAAATGTAAACTCTAGGAATATTCCTTAATACATTATCATTTTTCTATATATAAATGTAAGTTTCTTATAAGATTATTAAAAAAAATTGTAAACTTTGACAAAAATGTTTAAAATATTTGTAGTAAGATGACAACAAGTTTAAATTCTTAAAAGGTAAATTACTACATAGTAACAATAGAAATAAGAAAAAAAAAAATCAAAATCTATATATAACATAAGTGAATGAGCTTAATTTTTCAATCAATTTTGTTATTTCTTCCACATCTAAAAAATATTATCAATCATTTTGTGGGATTTTGGACTCTTGTGGGATAAAGACACAAGAAGAATCTTGTTTCACTATGATCCAGCAAACTGGAGCGGGAAACAAGATTGAAATGAAGATCCATATTATAGAAGAATGTCTTGAAGCCGAGGATTACACAGTTTAGTGTACAAATCATCCCGAGAGTTAATCGCATCCAAATTCAATGCACATACACATCTCGACCCGAGTGATCGAACCAGGCACAAGAGCCAACATTGAATGTCCACCAAAAGTCATTGTTTAAAAAAAACACTGATCCACAAGATTTTGGAAGCTTTGACAAATAGATATAATAATAAAAAAATATTTACTGAATTTTCCAGTAGATTTGGATGGAAATGAGAAACAAAACTCTTTTCGTCCCATTGAGCCTTCTAACTTCTCAGAATCAAACCCAAAACCTCAGATAACATGAAACGTGTTACAAAGAAGAAGAAAAAAAGAGACGTGCGTCTCAAGAGACCATTATTAATACCTGGTACTCTTCAACCTCCCCCACCACTTGAGCTTCGCCTTCTCCACTGAACCACCTGTTTCTTCATTCCCAAGTTTGCTTAGTATCAGTTTCGTTTCCCTTAGTCTCCCTCCATAATCCTTCTTCCATGTCTCAAACATCTGTTTCAGCCTTCTTAGCTCCCTGTCCGGATTCAAGTTTGCTTCCACCTGACCCGATTTCACTTCCATCAAGAACTTCGTGTCATCACCAAACACCTGAGCTCTTTGTCCGAATTCTTCTGCTAACCGGCTTATCACGCTTAAACCCACACCTACACTTCTTGTCCTGCCATGGGTCCTGTAGTCACCACTTCCTGATAAATCCGTTGCATCGCTAGCGTTCACGGATGCATCCGAGTTCCTCGCTGAGTCCTCGACCTCTAGGCTTTTCTTTGCGATGGAGAGACTGGATTGCAAAGATCTCATCTGCTTTTGCCAAATTTCTTCCATGGATTTCATCTTCGTTTCATACTCAGACCACCGGTTATCGTACTGCTGGAGTCTTTGTCGGAGAATATCGTTCTCCTCTTCTTTCTCACGAAGAGCAGCTTCGCTTTTCAGAACCCTGCGCTGAAGTTCGGAAAGTACTGATGCCTTCACTAGCACCTCGTCTGACTCATTTCTCTGCGTAAAGAATCAGTTTAAGAGTCGAGCAATATTCATTTATATCCTATAGTCAGATGCAAGAATATAATGTTAAAACCTTGGTGCCTCCAGATTTTAGCCAACCAATATCCCCAGCGCATCTTCTAACCAGCTCGCCACGAATTGCTGCAAGAACAATGAAGATTTCAGCAACTCTTGAAACTTTTGATTTCAAGGTTTGTTTCAGTTTTGTTAATTAATGAAACCCTTTTTTACCTGATTGTATTACAACAGATGCATCAACCGTGTCTTTATACTGTCTCTTAGCAATCTTTCTCTTAACATGGCTTTGTATAGCAGCAGAAGCTCTATGCCTCCGTAGTAAATCTGCGTATTCCTTTCTTACCTTTTCTCCACGAACAACTGAAACAAAAAGTTGTTAAGCTGATAGTGTCGAGATAACAGATACAAGACAAGATATTAAAATGAGACAAAGGGAGACAATACATGATTGAAGAACAGTGATTCCTCTTTTAAGCTCTTTTAGACGACAGCGTGCTTGGTGCCCTCTAAAATAGCTTTGAAGACGTAAAATGCCATGAAGAGTGCGATTTCTCGTATCTTCAAGAACCCCAATCTGCAGAAAAACTGCAGTAAGATTCTCTGATTCTAGAGAAACTAAAGACATCAGATGGCTAGATATGACTAGATATAGTACCTGGCCAGTTCTGAAAAACAGTTTTGTGTAGCCGACTTGATACATCTCTGGCAAGATATTGAATTGTTGAAGAATTGCAACCGAAACACTTAAAGGATCTTTTGCTGCAATGCTCTCCAGCAGAAGGAAACCATACCTAAAATGTGACAGGAAAAACAACATAAACGATCCATTCAACATTATTGCAACGAAAGAAGATGAGACATTACTGAAAACTGGTGGAGTTTTCACCTTCGGGCAAATTTCTGATGAGACATTCTCGTAGGAAATCCAGACCGGGAAATTCGAACCACCTCGAGGACACCACAGCATCTCAGCTGCTGTAAGACAAGCCCTTGCTCGTACAACCCGGGAGACTGAACATTGTTTGGCTTTATGCAGCGAATGAAATGTGGGGTAGTGTTCCCTAGACGTTGCATCAATTGGAAAAGTTGACCCTGACATAAATATCCAGGCATCAGAAATTATAAGATGATGAGATGTTTCCTCCTAAATCACAACAAGACGAGCTTTGAAGGTTTAAGAGCAGATCTAGAAGAAAGCTGTGTTTAAGACAAAAGTGCCTTACCTTAAATTTAGTTGCTACACTCAGTCGCTGGGAATCAGCTCCACCTGCTTTGTATAAAGGACCAACAACAGGTTTGTCCGAGTGAATGAGCATACTAGAAGCAAACGCTTGGGGAAGGTGGCAAGAGCAAGACGACAGAAGTTGAATAGAATCCGAATGCAGCAAATCCCGGTTCTTCTCTAAAAATCCAGTCGTCTCATATGTAACCTGAGTTGTTGGAAAAGAAAGTCAAGATCGGTTCTCGTTGAAGTTTGGATTTCTAAACCTAAAAGAAATGGCGCCACTGAGTTTGCTAAAGCTATTACCTCTCCAGCATAGTGGGCAACCGTGAAAGCCTTCCCTCGATCACCTCTAAAACAGGTATTACCATTCAGATGTTCCTTAAGTTTGTTGGCAAGTGTCAAATCTGTGCCATTCGGAAATGTGGATTCCTCATCCAGAAGTGAGAGCAGACCTAATGGTTTCTGCACGAGAGTGATACTTACTTGTCTTAGAGCCTAGAAGACATACTAAATAAATATGTTCCAAGACACCATATCTCAACATTTACTATGCAGCTTGATGATGGGAAGTCATCGCCAAAATTTTAATATAACATATGATGGTAGCTGACTCTAGATGAGATTACTTATCACATTACCTTTTCAAAGAGACTGAGACAATTTTGGTTGTCCTCAAAATCAACCCTTGTCCAGTCAATGCCATCCTGAATATATTCCTGGACGAGCAGAAAGAAATATTAAGCCTGCAGAACTCAATAGATTGTCTTGTCTGTCATGTGAATGGTCTGCCTATATATATTACAAGAGCCCATCGAAGAAAGAGATAACTTTACCTCCTGCTCGAGCTTGAACAGATGACGATTAAAGTGTTGCTGCAATCTCTCATTTGCATAATTTATACAGAACTGCTCAAAACTATTCTTCTGAAACATGTGAAGTAGTTATCCAGCAAACCAAAATTAACATCGATCCATAATGTACAACGGAAGGTGCATACATGATCTGAATATCTAATGTGCGGATAGCTTATGTAAGTTCGTGCAGGAAAAAGCAGAGAGAGGCTAAAGAGAAGCATACATTGAATGATTCAAAGCCATATATATCAAGAATGCTGATGGATCTGCCAGTTCTTCTCTTTCCCACGGCAAGAGACTTGTTTATCTGCTCAACCAGCCAGTCAAATAGGCAGGCGTAGATTGACTTTGCTAAAGCATCTCTTGCGTCAATGGCCTGAAAATTATTAAAAAGTCATTATCTACTCAGAATACAATTACGCACCAAAAATTTAACAATTCTTAATAAATGGCATACCTGCGTTAGTGTTAGCTTCTGTACAATTGTATCATTTCCAACTCTCATATTACGCTTTGATAGAGCTAGCTTAAGCTCATTGATGTTGCACCCAATCAATTTAGCAACAGTTGACAAACCTGAAAACAAAAATTATACAAATACAGCACTTGAAATAAACAAAACCCTTCTCCAAGAGAATGAAACAAAAACTATAGAGTGACAATTTGCACACAATATACAGAAAAGCAGAGTAACGTAACAAGAGCCTCACTTTCATCTGGGTCAGGTTCAACGTGATTTTCATTGTCAATAATGGTGAAAGAAACATTCCCCAGCCATAATACTGCTGCAAGCATTGCAAATACACTTTCTTGGTCGTCTTTACTAACGTGCACAATATCTAAAGCTTCCTGCAACAGAGAAAAGAGTTTTCCAATCAAAAGGGTCGAATTTAAATGTCTGAAAATATGCAGAGAAGGAAAGAAGATTTTTTTTTGACTGAATATGATGGATTATACCTTAACAGCGTGAAAACGCTCTGCGTCATCAACTCCGTTGATTGAATAGCAATTGCTCTGTCTCAAGTATTTATACTCTTTTGCGCTTGTCAAATTTAGCTTCTCTGATTTAGCAATGAGTGGAGTAAAAAGTCAGACATACAATATAGTTCTGTATCACAACAATTGAATTATTATAAGCTCTTGTTCAGGTTCTTACCTCTAAGCGTAGGTGAAGCCCCAGCACAAAGCTGATAAAATATATGATATGACCTTTCTCCATCCGCACATTGAACCACTCTAGACTATTAAAATGTGTCAGAATAAAAAGAAACCATGCCAAAGTTACCCAACCATATTTCAACATGAAATAGTATGAAGCAGCGAACGTAACTTACCTTCTCTAGTAAAACTGCAAAATTTAAAGAAACAGAAAAAGGCTAAATCAGCATTTGTAAAGGAAAAATAACAAACAGTGTGAAGCAGAACCAAACTACAAGATTCATGCTTACATGTTTGGATTTTAGCACCGGAAATCTTTCCTGTGTCACTAAAATGAATCTCTATCAGCTTCCCCTGTGAAAATTTCAACATCAACGAAATATTTAATGAGACAAAATCCCAAAGCTTTCAAAGACACAGTGTAAAAGGAAAGGCAGTATATGAGGATTAAGGGCTTACAAAGCGACTAGAGTTATCGTTTCTCAATGTTTTTGCATTTCCAAATGCTTCCAAGATGGGATTAGTCTTCAGTATCTCATACTCGATCCCACTTCCACCTCCAAGAGCAGCCAAGTATTGCATTGCTATCTTTGCTGTCTCAGTTTTCCCTGCTCCACTTTCTCCACTGGATAAACAATAACATTTGTGATAAGAAAACACTTCGAAATGCACATAGAAGTGTGCAAGAAGAATATTAGCGTGAGCGAATATAAGGAGGAAATTTTTGACTAACCTGATAATGATAGATTGGTTAACTTCATCTGGAATGCAAAACCGAAAATGATTAGAATGAAGACGTAGAATGCAATACGTCACACAAGAAACATGATCCCACCTCGTATCATTTCACGAATTGCTGTATCTGTAATAGCATATACGTGAGGGCTCTCGTTTGATCTTTTCCTGTATGCTTCAATGTTTCGATTTCCGTATAAAGGAACCTCCTTGAAGGGATTCACAGCCACCAGAACGGGCCCTGCTTTTGTCTAGCACCATAAAAAGGAAAAATCAGAAAAGCAATGATAAAACGCTGTAACATTTTACTTTAGAATCCAGAGAAGAGAATGTCAACATGACATGTCACAAAAGAAAAAAGAAACTGTATTAGCACAAACGCCTTACATATATCATGTCCTGGTTGTACCTATACTCAAGGTTGTACAACACAGCTGGCTCATTTAAGTAACTCAATTGCATAAGATCGTCTACTCCATCAAGAATATCAGGATTCGCAGGTACTAGAGTCTCGGACATAACTTTGATAACCTGTTAAACCAAGTGTAGTAATAGATTAACATCAAAAACTTTACAACAACAATCATTAACATCTACTTCAGGAAATTAAAAAAATTCACTTACTTTTCCCTCAGGCAGTTTAATAACAGACTCTTCTCCTGAAGTTGACAAAACCTTCCCTAGCTCCCAGTTACCATTTGGAAGTTGGACCCAAAATTGCAGTACCTGTAAATTGAATTCTTTTCAAAATATAAATGCCCTCTCTAGCTAAGAAAAGGAATGTATTAGGAACCTTAAAGATACCTTTTTGCGAGCATACGCGCTTGTGTCGCTCCACTTGCGATCATGACTCTGTGGCAAGGGCACAATAGGATCTCCATCACCTATTGAAGGCCGTTCTCCATTTGAAATGCTTCTTACGCTATACGGTGAATCCTCATTAGCACTATCCACTCCCACAACAAGATTTTCAACCCCGTTGATTCCATTCTTTAAGTGACCATTTTGTGGAATAATCAGATCGGTCACACAAACATTTGAGCCAGAGGGATTCTCAATGGGATCAGAACCAAGAAATCTGTAATCTGCCGGCATCGATTTGAGTGATAGAATGGATGGAGTAACCTTCTGGGACATTTTCCTGTAAGAGAAGGAAGTGTGTTCTGTTCAAAAGAAACGAGATCAGAAAGACAAAGAACTTCTGGTTTCCAACAAGCTTTTTTGAAGAAGACGTAGACCAAAGCATACTATGGAACAATAGAGGGGGACCATACTTTAACACATAGACTAAAGTGCACTTTCAATGTTCAGTCGCTATTTATAGAATTCCCACAATCAGAAAAGAAAAGATTCTAAGAAATGCAGAGACTTTCTGGTTCCCTTTTGCTCTAAATGAAGAAGGCACTTAAATGAAGTAAAAGCAATGCAAGATCCAATGGATTATCGCCAAAGATCATATTAAAATGAACAAATCTAATAAGGCTTCTTCTTACACAACTTTCTTGGCTTGAACTGTTAAAGACTAAAACAGTTTGATCTGATCTAAAAACAAACAAACCAAATTTAGATTGAATTTTGAGTCATGCCATGATTTATAAAAAGGAAAGGAAATTAGAAATGTTTCTTTTTTTACTCGGATTCATAAGGAAAGATCAAGACTAAAATATTGAAATTGATTCGATCTAGCTCATAGATTACCTTTTAAAATTAGAAAACCCAAAAGGAGAAAACCCGCCAATCAGCAACCACGTTAATGGAGAAATATCAGATGCACCGAAATTTTGATTTCCCCGATCGAGATCGATCTCAAAAAATACGCACAAATGTCCTCGATTTCTATATAAATTTCCGGTGATTCTGAAAGTAAAACTCAGGAAACGATGAAAGAAATAAAGAATGAAATTAGAGAAGAAAAAATGTCGAGGAAGTGAAAAAGAAGAAATGAAAGATATATAACACTTGGGGTTTTACAGTAACAATGGTGAGTGAGAAAATTTGAGAGAAAAGCAGAAATTTGGAGAGAAAATCGGAAAGAAAGAAAAAGAAGAAGAAGAAGAAGAAGAAGAAGAAGAGGCAACTTTTTCTCTGCTTAGTAAAACTGTTTTCGTTCCTCTCTTTTCTTACTCCTGATTTATATTATTTTTTGGCAATTTTGATCTTTTAATTAGTCATCCGACAATTTTGAATGTCTTTTTTGGCCACCAACAGTGGAATTTGCAGCACATCACATGGCTAAAATCCCGATTTTGCCCTTGATATTTTTCTTAACCGATGCTTAAGTTTTTTCAAATTATTGTGATCACAATGTTTAATGACGATATATTTTCCTCATTTAATGTTTTTTTTCAAATTATGATAAAACAAGACTGTTAAACCAAATTTTTAAAAACTTCTTATCTTACAAATGAAAGTACGTTATTGAGAACTATAAAAGTTGTATATTTAATGTTTACCCGTTCAAATTGTAAAGAATTTCACGTTTTGAGCATATGATATCCAGTAGATTGTGTGTGTTTCAACAGCAAATTTAAGGGTAAGAACAAAAAAAGATAAGCTTCTCATAAATTAATTTAGAATTGGTCCATGTTTCGATCACATTCCCGTTTTATGTAGTCAACCATATATTAATATATAACATTAGCAACCTGAGAATATCTTATCTTATATGCGTTTCAGTGTTACTAAATAATAATAAAACGTCGGCCTTATTTGTCAACAAGAATAATAATTGGTAGTTAGCTAGTACAGTATGCCGAAATAACAAACTTTTTGTGTGTGCCAAAAGATTATTATGATCATGATAAAGAGTGATGCAGTCTTGCAGACCCGAAGATGTTTGTTTAAGTACGTTTGACAATTTACCCCAAAATTATTAACTTTAAATTACTGAATAAGAAACAGTCTTATGAATTTATTACAGAAACAACCATATTCACTTTTGTAACGAAAATATATTCAAATCCCTAACGAACCGGAAAAATAAAAGGAAAAAGTTTATGATATAGTATGTACAAGAGATTTAAATGAAATCTCACTAAATGCAATATACAGATCCCTCACAAGTATTAACAAATGAATTTGTCTTTTGTAGGGCTTTCCTTCACGTTTTCTTCCAATCCAAGCAAAAAGACTTTCGCTTGTCACTGCACAGAAACAAAAAGTAACCTTTTATGTTTAGCTTTATGACATAGAACAAAACATGAAGCAACTAATCACCATCTTATGTAATCAATCCCACGAGCTAGAACTAGATGTATGTTGAGATGGCCTTAACCGGGTCAGTCCAGCCAGCTAGTTCTATACTTCGAAGCTCAGATAAAGTTCTCTGGTCCTAAGAGCCAACCGCAGTTAACAATCAAAAAGCAACATAACAGACCGGGATTAATCACTATGATTACCAATTTACATGCCGTAATCGATAAGTACAAGTTCTTTAAACTCCACCTCTATGTTGGAGCAAGAAAACATCCTCGACTAAATTATATATATCGACAAAGCTCAACTCTTTTCAGCATCAAACTTAAAACAGAGGCAAACAAATTAATGAAAAAATCACACGCCAAATCTAGAGTAAAGACGAAATCTTGCAATATAAAAATGGCAAGCGAAACCAAGAAACTCAAACACATTACGACAATCAACATCTCGCATCTCAAAATTTCCAATATCAAAGCTGCTACAGCTCGAGCATACCTTTTTCATATATCACTAAACACAATAACAAAGCTCTTGTAACCACACTCTACTTAAGACACCAAGAACTCAAGAAGTAACCCACTTTGCACACAGACAACACACACATGAAAACATCAGATTCTTATGGAAGGTCGGAACCAAGATTAGCTAGGGAATCACAGTGACAAACCTCAATCCAACTCGTCTTGCCTTGTATCCATATCAGACCCACTGCCAGAATCCGAATTCTCATCCTGACTCATTACCCGCCATGGAAACACACTATACCTCCCCACTCTCGGCGTCTGCTGGCTCTCCCCCGATCCCTGTCCGTCTCTGCTCGTCTGACCTCCACGAGCCCTGTTCTCGTAGTCCGCGTCGTCCGTCGGTAACTCGTGTCTACAAACAGGGCACGAGTTGTGCAGCTGCAGCCACGGGAGCAAGCAATCGCGGTGGTACACGTGTTTGCAAGGCATCTGCTTAGCACCGACCCCTTCTTCGAAATCATCCATACACACCGCGCACTGGTTCATCTCCGATCGCAACATGTCCTTCGTCACTTTCACAGTCGGTAAGGCGTCGATGGCTGATTTCGAAGCCGGAGGGGTTCCGTACCGGTTCGGGTCATCTTCAGCTAGTTGCTGGATCAGATCCTCGAGGCCACGCCCGAAGAAGTAATCCCCGTGGTTCCCTGGTAACGGGTTGGATAGATCCGAGAGCTGGTTCTCGAACAGGAACTGTACGTTCAGGCCGCTCGATTGCAGCTGCTGAAGATGGTTACGGATGAATCTCGCCGGATCGAAAGCATCAGGCTGCTGCTCATTATTAGATTGCCCTAAGAAGCTCGAGTTCGTGAAGTCCATGACTGGGATGAAGGGGAAGCGGGTTGTGACTGGATCCGACGTCGGGAAGATCAGGTTGGGCTCCGTGTATTCTTCGAGGAAGCCTTCGTTGCAGAGAGGACAGAAAGGATCGGCGGAGGAGGAAACTGAGATTGTGATTGTTTGATCGCATTGGTGACAGAAGAACATCTTGTCCGCCTCCGCGACGGATGACCCGATTGTGTTTCCGCCGGAAGACATGACGGAATCTGCGAATTTCAGAAATGCTTGAAAGACGAGAAAAATGGGGGTCACAGAGGAGAGAGAAAGAGAATCATTGATGATTTGGTGTCGCCTCATTGTGTGTCGGAGTCTCCGGCGAGGACTTTTCAAGTTATGGGCTTTAAGCCCGGCCCAATTCTGGTTTAATTTCTAGCAATTAAAAGGCGTTTTATTATCTGATATCTCTCATTTTATGGGGCTAACATGAAAGAATCGGAAACGTAGTGGACCTTAAAGATAAAAGTCATCATCACCCAATCGTTTTTTATTGTGTATCAAGTGAACATCGTCCTCTGACTCAACAGAGGAATTGGAGGACGAGGAAGACCGAGGAAGACGGCAGCCATGGATTCTATAGTCTCCAGTTCGACGATGCTTATCCGATCATACCACACTCCGGTTCCTTCACTTTCTCCGGCTTCCGCCGTATCCTTCAAACCTCTGAGCTCAGCCCAGGTCGCGTCATTCGCGGCTAAGAACCACATACTTTCGCTCAGTTCCGGTGGTAAACGAACCAGGAAACTCTTCGGTAGAGCTTCTACTTCGGCGGTAAGATGCGGAGGAATCAAAGAGATCGGAGAGAGCGAGTTTTCGAGTACGGTTCTGGAATCGGACCGGGCGGTTCTGGTTGAGTTCGTCGCTACTTGGTGCGGTCCCTGCAAATTGATCTATCCCGCTATGGAATCCTTAGCCCAGGTTTCGTTCTTTTCTGTTTTCTGTGTTGATGACCATGGAATCCGTATATTGTTCATCAATTCTGCTGTAGAATGCGAGATTTCTGAGCTTGAAGTTGAATGAGATCGATTGATTTTGAAATGAGATATCTAGCGCATGATTTGATGACGGAAGCTTGGGAATTAAGATTATCACTACTAAAAATGTGCAAGTGCTAAGAAAATTTGAAGAAACTACTGATGATTTACACAGTAAAATGTCGCATTTGATTCTGAGTTCTTGCTTTTCGAATGCTTATTCTAAAACTTGGAATTTTTTTTTTCCATCATCTTGCAGGAATATGGTGACAAGTTGACGATTGTAAAGATTGATCACGACGCGAATCCCAAGTTAATAGCAGAGTTCAAGGTTTATGGTTTACCACATTTCATCCTCTTCAAGGACGGGAAGGAAGTTGCAGGTAGCAGAAGGGAAGGTGCTATTACAAAGGCCAAGCTTAAGGACTACATTGATGGACTCTTGAACTCAATATCTGTTGCTTAAGCCTTAATCGCCTCTCACTCTCTCTCTCCACTGGTATTCCTCGGTCTCAACACACTGTTTGTAACCTAAACAAATTCTCTTGATCAATCATATAATTCTTCATCATCTGTTTCTTGTCGAAATGTGTAAATCTAGCAACAGATCTAATAGTAAAGACTTGAGGGCTCTTCTCAGAATCAAACAAGCATCATAGAAATGATTATTGCAGCATTGTGCCCCGTGAACTCGTTTCTGGCATTTGTTTTTGCACCTAATTTCATTTGGCAGTTAAAGGAATTAGAAAAACAAATGCAACTCGGATGCAAAGTAGCAAATTCTGCTTGGATTTATTGGAATGAATCAGGTAAAAAGAATTCTACATTAAAGACTTTTTTTTTGTTGACAATTTCCAATAAACTTCTTCTTCTCCTCTCAGCCGCAGATCTCACATCTTGTTGGCTTATTCCCTTGAAAAAGCAAACCAAATACCAGCGGCTAAGCAAAACCAATGCCTAGACTTTGAAACTTTTTAACTTTTTTTTTTTTTTTGGCTCTTAAACCTCCTTGACATAGCTCTCTTCACCTCCTCCTCCAATAACAGCATCGTCTGGGATGAAACGTTTCCAGAACGGGTGCTGCTTCCACACTCTTCCCATCTCTTCAATAGGAACTCCTTTTGTCTCCGGCAGCAAGAAGTAGATGAAGACGGTCATGATCGCAACCATTCCTCCAAAGAAGTAGAAGAGACCAAACTTCATGTGGCAAAGCATCGTGAGGAAGAACTGTCCGATGAGGAAAGTGAAGAACATGTTGACGGAAACGTTGATGGCTTGTCCCGCTGGTCTGACTTCCAAAGGACAGATCTCACTTGGTACTAACCATCCTAGTGGACCCCATGACCATGCAAACCCTGCAACATATAAACATATGAAAGCTAGGATCCAATCCGCTGTTGCAGGTGTCAATGTCCCTGATCCTGTGGTTCCAAACTTGAGACCGATCAAGGTACCAACAACGATCTACAAAAGTGGCGTATCAAACAATGAATGTCAAGGTACGCTATCATTACTTCACATGTATTACCGAGTCGACGGAGAGATAAACTAAATTTACCTGGCAAATGATCATTTGGATACCACCTTCAAGGAAGAGAATCCTTCTTCCGTATCTGTCAACCGCATAGATTGAGACAAAGGTAGAGACAACATTGACCACTCCGGTAATAACAGCAGAGATGAGCGAGGCATCATCTGCGAAACCGAGAGTTTTGAAGAGAACAGGAGCGTAGAACATGATCACATTGATACCAGTGAACTGCTGGAAGAAAGGAATCGCGGAACAGAACACAAGCGCGGGTCTGTATTTGGCCTGTTGGAAAATGTTCTTCCATGGGTTCTCCACTTTTTTAGCAGCTTCGCAAGCGTCACAAAGATCCTGAAACTCCTCATCGACGTTATCAGCTCCACGAATCTTCTGCAGCATCTCCCTCGCCTGTTCATACTTGCCTCTCTCGAGCATCGAGTTCGGTGTATCGGGCAAGACAAAAGATCCAATAACCATTACAACCGCCGGAACAGCAGCTAGACCTAAAGACACTCTCCATCCGTTCCTAGCCATTTTAGATGTTCCATAGTTGATTAGGTTCGCAATCAGAATTCCGACGGTGATCGCCATTTGAAATCCGATGTTGAGCGCTCCTCTGATCTTGGCAGGAGCCATCTCCGAGAGGTAAACCGGAGTAGACTGTGGAAAAAGAAAGATGACAATAAACCAAACAAAAGCCGAGAAAAACTAAACTGAACCAAACTGAAAAAAATCCATTAACCAGACTCACCTGATTAGCGAACCCAACACCGACTCCAAGCAACAATCTACCGATGATGAGCATTGCGACGTTCGTGGCGAAAGCGTTGAAAAGAGCACCGATGAGGAAAGCAACACCTCCGATAAACATGGAGATTTTGCGACCGTACTTCCTTGTGACAGCTGAAGCAGCAAAGGAAGACGCGAGAGCCGCGAGGTAGAGTGAGGAAGTGAACAACTGAAGCAGTTGGTTGTCGAACTTGCAGTATGCAGTCTCGCGCCTAGCACTGTGCATTTGCCTATCCACCTCCGGGAAAAACTTGCTCAGAAACTCCTCCATTGATGTCACTCCTCCTGCACAAGAAACCACATTACATTTTCGGTCCAAAAAAAATCAAACCAAAATTTCTCAAACTGACACTAAACTTGCATGTCGGGAATGAACTAAAACTAAAAAAAAACGAATGTCCACTCTGAGAAGAGGAATGTGATACAGACCTGAGATTCCAAGGTCGTAACCGAAGAGGAGACCTCCCATGGCGGCCACGACACATGTGATGATGACAAAAGCGGTGACTCCGCCTTCATAGCTTCCTCCGCCACCACCATCTGATACAAAGGCTCCTCCAGCCATTCTTTATTATTCACTTATTAGTTAGTTATCTGCTTTGCTTATTAATAATTGCCTTTTGCTTTGTTATTTAAACACAAACTTGAGAGCTTTGGATCTTAAAACTTGAGAGCCTGTGAGCTTCTTAAATAGAAGTGTTTTCGTGATCTATTATTAGGAATGGATTGTGTTATGAGCTGTTAGAGATTTATCTTGGCTTATGAATAGGGGAAGTGGTTTTGGTTTTTTATTATGTTCTTTAAACCCAATTTTAGTGGAGACTTGACTGTCTGTTTTTAGACTGTTTCTTTTGTTTTGCTTTTTATTACAGACAATTTCCGCTCTTATTTCTTTAACTTTCTTTTATTACATAAGACTGCATGTAAGAAGAGATAACCAAAAACATTCTCTAACCGAAAATAGAAACTTGTAATAACAAAATGATAATTGCATTTGACTGTGATAATTTAATAATTCGAATAATAGTTAGTTTGGGTCAAAGTCTATTTTGAGGATGTATATTTTTTTTATTTAAAAAAGTCGATTTGGATATTATTTAGAGTTAGTTTGGTTACGATTTGGGATTGGTTCATTGATCCACGTCATTATAGGTCCTTGATCCATATAATCCGAGAGACAAGACTGAAGTACATGTCTGAATATTGAAGAAACAGACAACACTGAAGAACGTGTCTGAAAATTGAAGAAGCCGAAAATCTCTACATAAAAAAAAAAACTCATCATAATGACGTACAGCGTACTATATACCTAATTTTCTTTTGTAAACATATTACGTACAAAAAGAGTTTAACAACACACTTTTCCTAGCCAAAAAAAAATAATTAAAAAAATAAAGGGAGAGTCTATAACATGCAACCGAGTATTTATAAGTGAGCCAAATCTACACTAATTAGATCACCATATATTCTTTTTTTTTTTTGCTAAAAATGCAAATATCATATAAAATGAATAATAGAATTTACAAAAGCAATTCTAAAGTTTGTTCTACCTTGGCAAAATAAAATAAAAAAACAAGGAAGAGCTAAAGGTGGGATTTAACAACGCAAACTGGTTAACAAAACCATAACGACATTAAGCATTCAAATCGTTTTTTATGCCTATTTGCAGAAATGATGTTTCGAATCTCTCTATCAATCCCTTTGTAGATTGAATACGGCTGGATCGAGACCTGATTGTGGAGAACATTATTTCTCTGTTTCCAGACGTGGAATATCGTTGCTTGCACTACTAGCTTTCTCGGAAGAGACGGAGCTGCAGAAGAGTCCTCCTTAATCCATGATAAAAGCTCTGCCCAACAACTGAATAATAGTTGCTGCAGACCAAATCTCGTGATGGTAAGCCTCCAAACCTCTAAACTGTAAGCACAATTTAGGAAGAGGTGGTCTCCAGTTTCTTCTGACACTGAACAGAGGCAACAATCAATTGGGATTTGAAGCCCCCAGGAAGCCAAACGAGTTCTAGTTGACAACCTGTCCAAATTAGCAATCCACATTGTGAATGAGTGCTTTGGGATGGCACCCTTAAACCAAATCAGATTCGCCCAGCTCTTTATCTCGGCTCTCGGTCTCAGTACCTCTCAAATTCTGGAGGAGGAGAACTCAATGCAGCTTGAGCCATTTGTACACCACTCAAACACATCAACGACTTCAGCACTAACTGTGGTATGGATCGGAGGAGGCATTGTCGAAAGATGAGCATGAAGGTTAACCGCTTCCTCAGATCTTGGATCCGCCAAATTCCAACCAAATCTGTTACAACTGTTTGACACTGTTGCATGGATCGGAATTCTCAGATCTCTTAGACCCGAAGGTCCTAAGTAAGAGATCAATTGGCCTAGCGAGGTCCAGTTGTCAAACCAGAACCTGATTTTTTGACCATTGCCCAAAACTGCTTTGATGAATCTAATTGCTATATGTCTTAGCTTCAAAAGCTCAGTCCAAATCCAAGAGTCCTGGCTCGACTTCTCTAGGGCCCAAAAGCTTTTATTTCTGAGATGATGAAACCTCTACCACGTAACCCACAGAGATTTGCTATCAGAGAACAAGAGCCATATAAACCGGAGGCAAAGCGTCATATTCCAAGCTGCAAATCTTCTAAGACCAAGACCTCCTTCTTCACGAGGCAAGCAGACAGTGGACCAAGCAACCTTTGTTCTTTTGGGATTGTCAATGTTTCCAGACCAGAGAAAGCGAGAACAAAAGGACTCGATCTTCTTTATACACTCTTGAGGTAGCATAAAAGCTGATATCCAAAAAACAACTGTCCCAGAAATAACTGTCTTGATCAATTGCACACGGCCAGCAAAAGATAAAATTTTTACTGCCCAAGATTTGAATCTAAGCTCAAGCTTACTCAAAAGAGGCTCATACTCTGAAATCCGCAACTTGCGAGACATGAGAGGCAATCCCAGATACCTGATTGGGAGGGTACCAACAGGGAAGCTATATCTAGCAATAGATATTGCTTCGCTAGGAGCCAAACCTGCATGAAACAACTCTGTTTTGTCCCGATTCATCTGCAGACCAGACCAACTCGAAAAATCATCCAGACACTCACAAATGCTATGCAGCGAAGAGGAGTTTCCATC